GTTTGTCTTGTGCCACCTGTCCCCACTTACTGATCACTTCAAGTGTGTATTTAAGTCTTGGTGTTCCCCCCATGTGGTTGTTGGTTCGTCGTCGTCCCTCTTCATGTTCATGTGTCCCGTCACCTCTCGCCATGTTCCTCGTAAGTTCTTTCATGTCTTTCCCTCTTCCACTCCCATGTTATGATTGAGTGTGACTCTCGTTAATTTAAGATTCTGTTAAAGATTTTGTTAAACAGTATTTAGTTTCTGCGTCTTGGTCCACCTGTTTCCCTTTTTCTACCGCATTCCCCCCCACACCTACCTGACAGAACGAACCAACAACCACATGGGAGGAACACTGAGACTTAAATAAACACTTGAACTCATCAGTAAGTGGGGACAGGTGGCACAAGACAAACAGGTGAGCAGGGACTACAAAATAAAACAGAGGAACACTGAACAAACTTAAAAACACTGTTGAAACATGAACTGCAAACACTCATAAAAGAGGATAAAATACCATAACTGTGACAATATCCTGTTTAATACAGTTATCATTATTACCATTGTTGTTACTACTTCTATTATTATGTTTGTTTATAAGTTTGTTGGTTGTTCAATGTTATGGTCATTTCTTCCAATAAAGCTTCATTGACTTGAATATAAAACTGGTTTTCTATCACAAAACTATTATGTCGATAAGTGCTCACTTATTCTTTCCATAAACCTCACGACCACTCAACAAAGTTCTGATTTACCACAGAGGGCAGGTGGGATACACACATGCTACCTAGCAGGAGTGCCAAGGTAACGCTAGCACTCGTTAACTTTAGCGTCTGTGCGCTCCCTGCAACAGGCTGATCTTTTCAGATGTGTAACGGTGGTGTTTTCCCAAAATTACAGTATAGCCTAAAGGAATATAAATGATCCATGTTCTGACGGCTTCATTCTGCTTCTTTCCTGAATTTGCAGTCGTGTGTTAAGAAAGTCTGCTGTTAAATGGTTCATACACAACATCTGACACTGATAGACATTACTGTGGCATCACAGGCTCATTGCACACACCTGACCACTGATTTGCAAGACTGGGAATTGTGTGGCCCTGTGTTATGGTCTCAAAATATGAATACTCAACATTCAGCGTAGAAGAAATCAACATTTTGTGTGTTGGGAATAGAAACATACAACAGAGTCTCTATTAAAGTTTTAAAGACCCTGTGCATGACAATTTTCCCATCAGATTTAAATGCACTGCCGGCAAATGTAATACTTTGCAGCCAATTTAAAACAATATAATTTCCTTGATTTTAATTTAAGACTTTTTAAGGAGCCGCAGGAACTCTGTCAGAGGAAACTCTCAGCTCTGACAGCAGAACACTAATCACAGCCTTTAATCAATAGGGGATCAGGGGAACTTCATTTCAGTTTCTTTTTACCCATGAATACACACAATTTATTTTTAAGTCTTGTATCCATGGACTTATTGCAACTGTATATATGTGTCTTTGTTTAAACAAGTTTCTAATCAGCTTTGAGCAGGGACAGGACACAGACCTCACATATGAAAAGTGTTTGGGCTATTGTTATCAATAACGATGCACTTTTATCATAACTTTAACCAAGTGCCGCCACTGGTCACCGACTGAGAGAGTATATGCGTATGTTTGTGTGTTAATTATGACTAATACTTTCAATCACAACTGTTTACTGAACAGGTAATTGATTATTGATTATGAGTTGAGTATCTCTTTAGCCTGGGGCCCTCAAAGTCTCTTGAAACAGCCCTGAAGATGATCTGATACAGCTCAAAGCTCCAGAAGTGAACAGCAACAATTTACAGGCCAAAGCTGATGTATGGTCTATCTGTTTTTTTTATTTTTTTATTTTTTAAAAAAAGTTTAAGTGTGGGTGACAAGACTCTACTGCAGGTAAAGAAACAGAAACTGCAGATAATCATAAACTGTAGCTATTTGAAGTGATGCAACATGGAGCAACTACATGGTTGAAACATAGTGCCGTAGTATTTTGTTATATTTAAGGTGTAATTTATTGGCCAAAAGAGATGAATCGTATAATAAATAAAGTTAAATTGTAACTTCATCCCTAAGTTTGGTGTGAAGTGTCTCTCCCTAGAAATTCAGAAAATGCCTTAAGAAGTACACACGCACACACACACACACACACACACACATTTGCAATATAGCTTAAGGGCTAAATTATCTATGTTGCCAAATTATGCGCTTTATGGGACCATGTAATGCTTATCAGATAATTTTCTATTTTTGCTTGTATTCAACCTCGGATATTGATTTATGGAAACAACTAGTGACTTTCAAATAAAAACTGGTAAAACATAGATCACCCGGCAAGTTTACCCAGTACCCAGTGTTTCGAAGCATATGTGGTATTTCTCCAAATACATACAGCACATATAGTAATAATGCTTGATTTCGGTGTAGTGTGTAGTCAAAGTTTCCCTGAAAACAGATATATCAGTTATTGTCAGACTTTTTTGTGCAATGGGTTTTTGAAAGCAGACGAAACCAATTCAATGTACAATTGTGGGACAATTATGGAATTTCTCAAATTTCAGAATGGAGTTACCTCGGCTTCACCACCGTCAGGAATCTGAATTTATCTTGAAAGAGGTAGGCTTTGTTCTTTTGACAGAGGGTTACTCAAAAATTACACAGTATGAGCACTCCATAGTAATTATGGCAGTAGTCTAACTACTTAGTCCAACAATATCAGTCTCATGAAGAACTTATGGCAATAAAGTCTTTTACCTGTCATCACAGATAGCAGAAGAAGCAAATGTTTGTTCATCTACAAATGTGTGAAGCTTTGGTGCAGCTTGGTTGAATTTAAAGGGGATTGGGTATTGATGGAGGTATGAACTTGTTCTGTTTTCTTAATAAATCTAATACTTAACCGCCACTTTGTACTTAGTGACCGCACTTTTTCCATCGCTATGGCAAACCATGCACGGAGCCTGCAGTCTTCTAGTGATGCTTGGCTGGGATTTGCCAGCCAGGGGTTCGTGAATGGCTTTGGCTTAATGGCTCTTTAATCCGCCAGGGGCTGTCAGTCTACGTGGGGCCCGCGTGGTTTGCTGAGTAAATGTCAGGGATTGTGAATAAAGTCTATAAATGGTCATCAATGCTCCATTTTCAAGTTTCTGATGCGCAAACACAAAAGATGTCAGAAAGAACGGATCATTCCACAAAATCCAGTGACAGAAAACCTTAGTCATGGTGTAGACATGCATGTATAAATGTGAGGGGGACCATCTTTTAAAGGAAATTTTGCATTGTAAGTGACAATGTATGATACAAATTCAGTTAAAATGAACATACACTCCTTTTAATGTTACCTAATATTTATTTATATACATATATACATTTTCTTGTTTTGAGAGGGAAAGAGGGTTATGAGGGGTAGGGGTATAGCAGGGGGTAAGGAGGGTGATAAAGGGAATGTGAGAGGGGACAGGGTGAGCGACAGGAGGAAGGTATTAAGGTGTAGGGAGCTACTGATACTTGGCCTGAGGACTGAATATCTTTCTAATTAATCGAAAGACTTCTCTTCTTCTTTTTCTCCTCCTCCATTTGTTTACTCTCCTCTTCCAGCTCTTTCGTTTGCTCGTTGAGTTGTTTCTTGTTCTCATTGAGTTCCTTCTCCTCCTCCTCCATTTGTTTCCTCTCCTCATCCAACTCTTTTTTTTTTGCTCGTCTAGTTGTTTCTTGTCATTCAATTCAATTTTATATGAATTGTGATCTCCTTAAATGGGCATGCCATTGATCTTCCAATATTCTTAAAATCAAGATTCTAAAGATTAAATCCAGCACTAAGCAGCTATTCTCAATATGTTTTACTATTCTGTGAACAATGCGAGGAGGTTATGGGCAGAGGCGGACCGATTCAGGGTGGAAACTGACGAGTAGTGATGCCAGTTCACACTTCAAAAGAACTAGTTCAGTTCATACAGATGAGAATGAACGAGTTCACGTTCATTTGTTCCGTTTTTATTGGGATTATTTAGATGATGATCATGTGTTTAGTTATTAATGGACGGTGTTGGATCATGAACCTGTGTCACTTAAACACTGAATCCTGTGTGTGTCGCTCTCCAACGTGAGCGTTTTCAAGAGAAAGACATGAAAATAAAAACATTCAAGGGAGAGGAAGAGAAAGATAGGGACAAAGGGAAATTGAGTATATTTTGTTATTATTTCAGTAACTCCATAATTGACCTCCTATTTCCTTGTGTGTTATCTTCTCACTTAATTAAAACAAGATATAAAACAGAGGCCTATCATCAACCTAATCTGAGATCCTGCTGAAAACCAGGGTTATAGATGACAGATATTCCATGTGAATGGACAATATGGTTCATTCTTATTTTACAGAGATCATATTGTTTATGAAAATAAGATTTTACTGTGAGTGAATTTGTCTGTTAATATGTTTTGTTGGGTTGGGAAGAAGTGACAAGTAGGACTCATTTAGATAAATGAAAGAAGATGGAGAACAACGTATGCGGAGGGCCCCATGCCTGTGTTCGCCTTGGGCCCCCAAATTGCTAAATCCGCCACTGGCTACGACTTCAGTTGCAGCTCACACACTTTTGAACAGACATGTCATATGAAGAAGAGGCTTCCCGTCTCCTAAGTTTCCTGATGGTCGTCCTGATCTGTTTGAACCACTGGTACAGGCAGCTGGTGCTCAGACAGCCGGGACTAAACCGTGTCTGAAGAGTGCGGTGGTGCAGCACCGCACAAACCACTGGCCCAGGCGACCGTCTCAGCCAATGAATCAAATGGTGCGTGTATAAGATAGACAGTCAAGGGGCAGAAGAGGATGGGAGCTGTCTCCGAATGCCTTCCAGCAGTATGTGTGTACACCTGCCTTCTTCACAATGACCCCACACCAGTTTTGGGACATGGCAGGACCCAATCTAAGGTGTAAACCTGTGGAATATCTGTCACACGACAAACACAAGGGTTCAGTTCACTTCTCACCGTGGTGGTCTTGACTCGGCCTCCTGGTTGCGTGCAGGTCCAGCCCGACTGATTGACCAGGAGATCACAACCTTCATCGTCCAAACAAGGACTCATCTCACACCACTGTCGACTCCTGACGATACGAACTGAAGAAGAGTGGGAGAAAAGACAAGTGAGGTTTCATGTCATTTGTATAAACCTGTCGATGTGGCTCAGTTCCTCCTGACTGTCCTCAGACTTTTTACATAATATCTGATGGTTTTGTCCTCAATGTTTTTTTTACATTTTAAACAGACAAAAGCAGATAAATGACAGTTTGGAGAGTTTGAACAAGTAATTAGCCAGTTCTCTCTTGCTGTAATACCTTGAATATCTCATATTTTACAGCTTCATTCCTGTGTACACATTGTTATCCCACCTTAACATCCAAAATGGTTTGTGCATGTTGGTAAATGTATACACCTACATACAGACTATCACAGTAATTAACATTAGAAAGAAAAAATAAATTGACCCTGATTCATGCTTTTCTTAACTTCTGTCTTGTAACATTTGTACATTTATTTGTTGTAAACTTACGAATTTAATATATTATTAACTCTACTCTTACCATGACAATTTGTTAGTCTTTAAATTAAAATTGTATTCTAACCATTTTAATTATATTTTCATTTAAACTTGGAGGAAAACTGTTTCCCTTTTATGTCACAGCTAATTCTCAATATTTTTATTTAAATGCATTGTTTTTTTCCTCTCTGTTAGTTTTATTTTTCTACTTGAAATTATCTTCAAAATATTCTTAAACCCAAACTCAGTCCAACATCATAGGAATGATCCTGTTTACTGTACACACCTCCTCCTCATCAAAAGCTCAGCTATTTATAAATAAATAGGACATTCTCACAACTACATTTGCATATTGTGGCTCCCCAATTGGCCCACAGAGGGAGCGGAAGGGATGATGAAGAGGAGGGTGATGAAGAGGAGGATGAGTGTGTTTAAGACGATGAAAAGAAATGAAAAACATCTAAGGATGTTCACGGATATCCCAATTTTTCATCCCTGGTATTGGTCAAACTCCCAAAACAGTGAACACATGTCCCACAATGCAGCTCCATGACATACACCCCTGACGGTGCAGACCTTTCTTTACTGAAAATCACCTCCCTTCGTTCACACCTCCAGTGTGTAACTCATGCTCTCCATTTCTCATCGTGCCCTTAAATATGTAAATATGTATTATTTGTGGATCTTCCCTTTTTTAATAATTCTTAGACGATATAAACATCAGATAATTAACATCAAATACAGACAGAACTGAAGAAGGGTCAAAGGCCACAGTGATCAAGTACATGACAATGTCACTCTGGATCATTAATGCACGACACTACAAAGTAAAAATACTGTCAATGCCACAGCGGAAGAATATCAAACAAACATCTGCCAGCAGTTAACAGTGTGCGCATCTAATCAGATACGGCCTCTGTACCCAGAGGGGAAAACATATGAGGGAGATCAGATGGAGATGAACCTGATTAGCGAGAGGAGAGATAAGAGGAGCATCAAACTCAGCAAAAAAAATTAAAGAAACATTTCCTGAGTACAATATATACAGAATGTATGTCATCAGTGTGCCGGCTGTTAGGATTCTTCTGTATACACTATTCGTAAGTGAAAACTCATTGCCCTCACTGTGGCTTTTTAAACAATCTGGTTTTATTATAAGCAAAATATCAGCATAATTTGAGGTACGATAGCCACATGATGCAATGCAGTAGATCAAATGTAAAGGCAAGGTAAACTAACATAATAATGCATGAAAAAGCATACCATGACAAAAGAGGATTAATGAACCAGTGGAACATAAAGTCATGTAATGTGATGTAGTGCATAGTAATGTAAAGCCCACTTCATGCTTCTGCGTCAAAGCTACACTGTAGCTTATGAGTAGATATGTACCAGAAGCAGAGCCCCATGCCATTCCCTGAGGTGCACCTCCCCTGAAATGTAACTATGTGATGAGGTGACGCAGACTGCAGTTCTTTTAAAAAATATATTGCCGTCCAACATCAGTTCCAAATCCAGCACGATCCTCTCGCCATTGCTACAGCATAACTTCCACACAGAAGCATGAATTGGACTTAACACAAGGAATCATAACATAACACAATATATCACAATGAAGGGTAGCATGATTAGATAACATTACATAACATGCCATTAAACAATGCAGTGGAACATAACACAAATACTGCTATTAAATACAACACATAATAATACAACATAATGTTAAACAAATACATTAACATAAGGAATTAAACTTTTTGCAGGGCAGTGTGACGCCAAGGCAACGTTAAACCAAGTCTACAATGTAACCCAAGGCAAAATAACATAATCAACTCATCCGTCCATCCCTTGTCTATACCGCTTATCCTTTTAGGTTTGCTGTGCTGGGGAGTTCGAAATAAATAAAATAAAATAAATAATTCTAAGTTATATTACTTAAGGAAATGTAATACAAGGTAAAGTAACATAATGCAAGGTAGAGAAACACAAAGTAATGTAACACAAGGTGAAGGTCATTTCATGCAACATATTTAAAAACAAGGCATTATCTTATCTTACCTTAAGGTACAGTACCATTAGTAACCCCAACCCCATGTAGTAGGACATTATGTATCACATAGTAATGTGACATAATGTAACATGTCGTGAAACAATGCAACACTGATGACATTATATCAAATACCATAGTATTATATAAATATAATGTATTGCAATATAAATGGAAATGACATGACAACCTTATACAGTATAGATATAATGGTGGTTTATGTTTTTACAAGAACCAACAGCAGGTATCCTCTGTAAAAGCCACTCACACACACACCCAGAGGATTCCCTGCTGTTTGTGCGATACTTTCCTGACCCAGTCACTGCCATCATTCCAGCGTTGCCCTCATTCCCTGCACTGAATTACACTCTACGAGCTCAGCCTGGGGAAGGATGAAGAAAATTAAAGTCTGCTTGGGCCTCAGATACATAACCAGGTAATCAGTTCTCCCTTTGGAGCAGCTGACTACTAGTATGATTGTGATAGCCTTTTAGCCCCCAATTATCAAACCAATTTCCTATTGAACAACAGCAGCTCCTCTCAGCCATGACACTTAATTAAATTCTCCCACTGCCTCACGCCTTTACCGAGATAGAGAAAAAGAAATGCTCTGGAACCAGAAAACACTTCAGATGCTCCTTAATTCATTAAAAGTTATTTTTAGAATTTAGTTCAGGTTAAAGAGGGAGTTGGAATTACAAATGGCATAAAGTGTGCACCAAAGGAGAAGTAATGAGAAGGATATCAGCATCGTGTGTGTGAAGTAAAGAAATATGTCCAGGAAATATTCATGCTAGCTTTGGACAAACACTTCACAAAGATCCATCAAAAAGACACAAAATATATCAACAACCACCATCCATCCTGGTAAACTTGCTGATGTCATCTGGCCGTGTTGATTACTCAAAACTCTTAATTGCTTGCTATGTGAGGGAAATGGTGGAAGATGGAACAACTGAGGTAAATGTGGAAACTCAACCCAGCAAAAGCAAGATCTCGCATTGGATGAGGCAAAATAGGTGAAGGCAGAAACTGATAGAAGCATAGGTGTAACAGAGTGGAATGCACAGCTCCACCTCGAGCCCAGTCCTGGAACACTAAGCGGGCTGGTACAAACTTGTTTATGGTTCAACTACCCACTGATACAACGTCTTTTCTGGTTATATCCCCAATGGTGAGTCAGCCTGGAGAGAGTCCTCTAAACCGACAAACATGCGACCAGTGCTCTGTAGCAGTCAGTATGGGGCGAGGCAGTGTGGCTTCGGTCTGCTGACCGAGTTGAACATGTCTTCTTCTATGTCCTTGCTAAAAAGACAGCAGTGGTCTGCAACTATGTCAAACCAATGACAGTTCTTCTATTTCACCAAAGGCTGACACATACATTCATGGGTATCTGATCTCCATCATGGCAGCAACATTCAGAGCATCACTTCCTCTTTACTAATTTGTCTTCAAAGTAAAAGCACAACATGTTTTGTTGCTGCAGTGCTTTATATCAATTAAGCTGAATTACAGAGGCTTTATTATGACAATCTCTGAACTTGGGTGTGGAAATTGTGTTGATTAGTTTACTAAATCATCAACATATGCATGTATATACATGTAAATATATATATGCTACATACATGAACAATAATAAAATCCACTTTACAGACGAACCAGGAAGGATGAACACAAAGTTTTCTAACTTCATTCTGCACAATAGACTGTTTATAAAAAGCTCTGCACACAACGTCCAGCACACAAACAAAATAAAAATGACAGTATATTGTAGAACTGTTTGAAGAGGAGTCACTAATGACAAGGAAATATTCTGAAGTTGCCCTGGAACATTACCACAGACCAAACAAAAAGCCCATTACAAACAGGCAGGTTTAGAAGTGGCACTGGACTAGTTGATATAATGTGTGATTTCATGTTATCTCTCAGGTTTGGTTTCTAAGCAGACATTTCACCACCTTTCTTCCTGTGACTCAGCAGTGCAGCACTGAGCCTCCTCAAGTTCCCCCTGAGACCTGATGGGGTTTTCAAAGAACTGGGTGGTGAGAATCAGCACTGGCCTGCATGAGGGGACAACATGTAATCACCTGAGGCGAGGATGGAAGCCTGCAGCAGCCGCACCATTTGTTGATTTCTCTTTTTCTGTCATCATCCCAGTGCATCACTGGACTGAGTGACCAAGCCTGGCGCTTCCCTCCATAACAACTCCATTACCTCAGCAGTATCTCAGTGTTTTATCAGATGCCTCACAGCGAGGCTGAAAATGCAGCTGTTTCCCTAAATCATCTGGAAACAGTCAGACTGAACACAGTAATTCAGAGAGAAAAACAAAACAGAGTGGATCTGATAAAAGTATCCAACCAGGGCCTGAAACAAACCACACTGATTAAACTGAGCAGCCCAAACTTCAAGGTCACAATCACATCAGTTTGAAAGTCAAGATGTATGCACACATAAGAGTTTGTCTGGTCCAGCAGTATGATCTAATCTGATTAATGGACACAATCTTGCATAATGCAGGTATACGCCTGA